AAGGGATGTGAAGGGTAAACAAAGGAGGAGGCTGCAATGCTTGATAAGAAATGTACTCATTATCTTGCCCATGTAATTGTAACCCCTCTGTACAAAAAATAAAAACAAAAATTAAAAAACAAAAAAATGAAACCTAGTGCTGGTGGCTCACACCTGTAATCCTAGCTCCCCAGGGATCTGAGGATTAGAGCTTTGAAGCTAGCCTGGGCAGGAAAGTCTGTGAGACTGTTCTCTCTAATTAAGTAGCAAAAAACTGGAAATGGAGATGGCTCAAGGGGTGGAGCACCAGTCCTGAGTGAAAAAACTAAGGAACAGTACCCAGACCCCAAATTCAAGTTCTAGTATTGGCACAAAAAACAAACTACTTGGCCCACCTCCCTTCTCCATTTACTAATTCTTTTTTTTTTCCTCTTTATTTATTTATTTATTTATTTATTATTTGTGAACATACTGTACAGAGGGGTTACAATTACATGGGCAGGATAATATGTACATTTCTTACCAAGCATTGCAGCCTCCTCCTTTGGTTTACCCTTCACATCCCTTCCCAGCCTCCCCCTCCCCCTCCATTTACTAATTCTTAAGGAAAGTGTGTGAGGAGATGATACTGGAAAGACTGCATATTTTCACTCCTCAGTCATGCTTCCTTGTATGTACCTGTATACGTATATGTACTATACCCATGTATACACTAAAGTCACAGGAATAGGAAGCAGAATGACTTCGCAGTATTATTGTAAGAAAGAACATGCAGACAGGACATGACGGCAGGGTGTTGTTCAGTTAAGAAGGTGAAGTCACTATGAACCAGTACCAAAGTATTTAATAGTATGAAGTCAATTATAGCTTCTGGAAAAGAAGGACGGGGGAGGAGCACAGAGTGAAGTCTAAAATAGTTGAAGCAGTTGTGCCTGTCATTCAGCCTATGGTTAGTAGGAGGTCCCCACTCCCTACTTTGATCTGTCTACCTCAGGCTTTATGGTATATTTAAAAATATGACACTTTTTTTTTTTTGGGTCTGGTCGTGGGGCCTGAACTCTGGGCTTGGGCGCTGTCCCTCAGCTCTTCAGCTCAAGGCTAGCGCCCTACCATTTGAGCCACAGCTCCACTTCAGCTTTTTTCTGCTTATGTGGTGCTGAGATATTGAACCCAGGGCCTCATGCATGAGAGGCAAGCATTCTACCACTGAGCCAACTTCCTAGAGCCCCTTTATTTTTAGTTTTCGTTAGTCATGGGAACTGGTTACTGTCCCTGAGGTCTTCACCTCAAAGCCAGCACTCTACTATTTGAGCCACAATGACACATCTCATTTTCTGGTGGTTGAGTGAAGATAAGAGTCTCACAGACTTTTCTACCCCAGCTGGCTTTGAACTGTGATCCTTAGATCTTAGCCTCCTGAGTAGCTAGGATTACAGGCGTGAGCCACCAGTGCCTGACTTGGCTTACTCGCTTTTGTTTGTTTGTTTTGTTTTGTTTTTTGTCGGTCACAGGGCCTGAACTCTGGGCCTGGGTGCTGTCCCTCAGCTCTTCAGCTCAAGGCTAATGATCTATCACTTGAGGCACAGCACCACTTCTGGCTTCTTTCTGTTTATATGGTGCTGAGGAATTGAACCCAAGGCCTCATGCATGCAAGGCAAGCACTCTACCACTGAGCCACCTTCCCAGCCCCAGCTTACTCATTTTGACACTATCAAATCATGAGGTTCAATGATAAATCAATGTACTACAGTTGTAAGCTAAATCAGCATTCAGATACTTGAGTGCGTGCTTGCACGTGCGCGCGCGCGTGTGTGTGTGTTAAATTGGTTATTAAAAAAAGAAATGGAGCCAGCACACCTGTAATGCTAGCTACTCTGGAGACTGAGAACTGAAGTTCATGGTTCAAATCCAACTGAAGCAGTAAAATCTAAGAAACTGTGAGCTCTAGTAAATCAGCAGAAAGCTAGAAGTAGAGGTGTAGCTCTAGGTTTGGGTTAAACAAAGAAAAAAAAGTGAGAATGTAAATAAAGCATTAAGTTCAAGCTCCAGTACCAGCATATATACACATACACAAAGTAGAAAAACTGAGGAATACCTTATATGGAATATGTTTTGTGTGGTACCGATTTTTGAATTGTGCATAAGAATCACCGAGGGAATTTGTTTAAAATGTAGATTACAAGCCAGTAGTGGTGGCCTGTACCTCAGCACTCGGAGGCTAAGTTCAAGACTAGCCTGGGCTATATAGGAGTTTGAGGCAAGCCTGGACACATAGTGAGGCTGTTAGATTTCTGGGCCTTGTTTCTTAAACGATCTGAATTGGCATGTCTAGAGCAAGGTCAGAAGTCTATATTTAAGCATTCACTTGGAGTGATTCTGATGAAGGAAAGCAGTTATCATATATAAAAACACATATACATGTTTCTACATGCTAGTGCTGAGCCAGCATGTAAACAACTCCCTTGTCAATACTAGACAGTCAATAAGCCAAATGAAACTCAGACTGCTTCTTTATTTAAAATCAGTAAGGAAGAAAACTTTTCATTGTATTGTATTTACAGCTTCTATAGAAGCTAATGAAATTTACACTGTGTCTTGAAAAAGTTGTAAAATAAAAATTAGTTAAGATGCAAAAAAGAATTAGTTTTAAGAAATGCATAAAGATTTTTTTTCTTTTCTTTTTTTTTTTTTTTTTTGGTGGTGGTAGGGTGTTGATGATTAAACCCAGACTGTACTTGCTGGGCAAATGTTCTACTACTGAGCTTCATTCCCAGGCCTGTAAAGATATCTTGAACATAGCAGAGCACTTAGTAGATTTATTTTTATCTGATACTGTGGAAAGATATGTATTTTATTTGGAAGAAACAGCATCATTATGTAAGAAAACTGGGCCCCTCATTAAACATATTGAGATGTGACACTAACTCAGCCAACTGACTTTAAGTTGGAGTGGGGGTGCGAGAGCTTGAACCCAAGGCCTTATCACATATTAATAAAGTGGTGTACCACTGAACTATATCCTCATCCCTAAAGTAAGTACTTTTGAACCCTTAGTATATGCAGAGAACACTTGGACTATGGAGGTTGTCACATGTGAATTTTCTGCTTTTTGTCATCTGTATTAAATATTAAGCCAATAATTCATCCCTTGAGGTGAAGACAGTTGTCTGAATACAGGGGAACACTTCTTTTCTGTTCTAAGATGAAACTATATAGGATGTGATAATTGCTTACTGAGTTTAATATAAAAAATTTATTCTTCATTAAAACAAACTGAGAAAGAAAATAAGTAAAGTCAGTCTGAGCTTTTTAAAAGTTAAAAGAACTAGTGTGGTATTGATGGCACACACCTGTAATCCTGGCTACTCAGAAGGCTGAGATCTTAGGATCAAGGTTAGAAGCTAGCCTAGGCAAGAAAGTCCGTGAGACTCTTATCTCCAATAAATATCTTATTTCCAATTAATCTCCAAAATAGCTGGAAGTGGTAGAGTGCTAGCTAGCCTTGACCACAAAAGCTCAGGGACATAGCCTAAGTCCTGGGTTCAAACCAGCTTAGTAACATAAAATCTTTACATTTACTTTTCTAAGCTCCATAAAGTTCTCTGGATGGGTTTTCAGTGAAAATTAACAGAAAGAATGAAGTCACTGTGAGGGTCATGTGTTGCAGAGAAAAGAGATGCTTGCTAAAACAATTTGATGGCTTGCAAGTGTATATGTAATGTTAGTCTCCTTTTCTTTGTTCAGCTTGTTGATGGTCACTTTGATACCAAGATTGGACACAAGGTGGAGAGTGAAAGTTACCGAAAGATTGCAAACAGCATTGGGTGCTCCACCAACAACATCTTGTTTCTGACAGATGTTACTTTAGGTGAGTAGCAAGACTATTGTGGTTTTATTTTTCTTTGAGATGAGGGTCTTAACTGCATTGGCCTTGAACTCTTAGGCTCAAGCAATCTCCCTACCTCAGCCTCTTGAGTAGCTGACACTACAGGCAGAAGCCATCACTCCCAGCTACTCCTAGGGAGTAGTTGATGTCACTTGTGGGGCTTGATCTCCGGGCCTGGGTGCTGTCCTTGAGCCTCTTGAGCCAGAGTGCTTCTTCCAGTTTTTGAGTGGTTAATTGGAGATAAGCATCTCACGGGGACTTTTCTGCCGGGGCTGGCTTTGAACCACAGTCCTCAAATCTCAGCCTCCTGAGTAGCTAGGATTACAGGTTTGAACCACTGGCGCTCGGCTACAACATATTTTATTTTAAAGCAAGTTTATGTGGGAATCCTTGACAAATAAAATAGTTGCATAAAACAAAAAAATGAGGGGGGGATTGGGTGGGGGGGCGGGGGGAGGCTGGGAAGGGATGTGAAGGGTAAACAAAGGAGGAGGCTGCAATGCTTGATAAGAAATGTACTCATTATCTTGCCCATGTAA